TGTCGATGAGACTCAACCAGGTCGGAACAGCTGTCCAGTGCTTCCTAGCTTTTCAGTTCACGCTTCATTTGCTATGCCTCCGAAAGCCTCAGTATGGTCAGGGGTGGGTGCCTGGGATTGAGACTGGTCACCATTCCCTTACACCTCGCGAAATGCTCTTATATGACCAAGCGTCTCAAATAGCCTCTGCTGATGAAGCCCTACTCACTGCCTTCCCGTGGCAGAGGACGAAAAGCCGATATCCGGGGTTATAATCGGGTTGGTGAACCATTGACAGTTCACCTAAGGGAGTTGACTAAAAACCCTGATTCCAAACCAACCAAGAAGAGGCGTACGCACACCTTCCTGGTCGCGGCAGTGGTCACGGGCTCGATTGGGTATCAAGGTGGATTGGGCACCTTGGACGTTTGACCTCGTCCGAAGGGCGTATGATTCAGTCAGCTGGACACCGGCATCCAATGGACTGCGGACTCTGAGCTCCGTCCTGTTGTCTTGCAAGTCTGGCTCTCTAGCCAAAGGCTTCAAGTGGGGACCCCAAGGATATCCCGATCCTCGGCCAGGGCAATCGGAAAGTAATATGGCCACACAACCTATGAACACATTCTTTAGATTTCTTCTTCCTGCGCATTTGTTGTGGCACAATTGCCAGTTCTCTATAATTGGCTTCATGTTGAAATAATAATAATAATAATAATAATAATAATAATAATAATAATAATAATTTGCTATATATACAATGAATTCCCATTTGAAAAAAAAAACAGAATATAAGTCACGAACAAACTGACCTTGATCGAAGACAAACATGAGCTGGATTCGTCCAGATGGAGTGGAATGCTGACGACAAAACCAACCGACCACATTGTGCGATCCATCGGATTCGGGGAGTTGACCATCGTAGTACTGTTTATCCATCAACAGACCGAGACCACCGTGCAAGTAGGCACGACGATCCGGGACGTTGGATAGAGTTTTCAAACCGGGCCACGTGGTCGCATCGGTCGATTCGAGTGTACTAGTCCACCAACCATCGTAGCTACTATCGTTCAGGGACACGTGCAATCGTGGATCCATACGATACACATCACCCTCGGGGATGGTATATTCCACCACACCGTCTGAATAACACAGAACAAAGAATCACAATGTAGACGATATTACTATCACTGTTCTTGTATTTTATATAGACTAGCATAGTGATTGAGTCCACGTGGCGCATAGTCTTAGGAGAATAGAGTATAGTATAGTAAGATATGAAGTTTTGTAGAACCCAGGGTAATGTAACGACCGAATAGTTACCAGGGTGTCCAAGGCGAAAACTGGAAGGACAAACTACGCTCTGTTAGAAATTGAGTGAGACACATCAACTGACGTAAATCTATTCAAGAGGCTCATACCAAATGCATTGGTGAATATGATATTGCCCCACATCGGAGGCAACATATTCTGTTAGCTGAATGCCAACAAAATGTACGACATCTCGATTTCGACGGTGATTGCTGGTACATCCGTTGTATGTAAAATAACAAAGGCAAAGTAAAACATAATTAGAATTTATTTATCGGAATACAGGTATTACACTTTCATTTCGTCCACATTATATTTGCCATTCTTCATTTTTGAACAATGGAGGCATCGCTTTAGCATGGAATCCACCAATTGGATTATCCTACACAATATGCCAGTTCCCTCTAATACACGCCGCACTCTAACCACTGATGACCACTGTCGAGGTAACTAATTTATCCCTGTTTCTAACACAGGGAGAAGTTTTATGCTCTCAGACAGTGCAACGACACAGAATAACTCATTTTTCTATCGTAATACTAGCAAGTTCACTTTCTAGCCTCGATATGCAAGTGCCGGAATTGCGTTTGGATAGTCAGACCGTTAGAAACGATCTATATGGGGATCCGTTTGTGTGCGTATATATAT